ACCCATTCATAAAGAGAGCCATTTACTTAATTCCTGAATGAATCAGCTGTTTGAATCAAATGAATGACTCATAAAGACATTTACCGCCACCTGCTGGCAGATTTAGTTTCTTATTTAGAGTATTATTTCATTAAAAAAAGGGGGAAAAAACAACAACTTTAAAGGGATAGTTCACCCCAAAAAAATGTAAATGTGTCCGCTTCATTAGGCACGGTAGGGAAATAACGAGAAAAATAACAATGTACAATAAACGGTAAAATTGTTTGTGCTATAACGCTGTGTGTTTATAATTAAGACAATACATTAAAATAATATGGTAAGAAACACCGGTTTGCAATATCAAGCTGCAAAACGAGCTGTTTTGTACAGCTAAAAATTGCTAGAAGTGGGTGAGACTGCAAGCCAGACCCATTAAATTTACAGAATTTGGCCTTTTTATACAGTATCACTGTCTTCAAACATTAAGCCACGTTAAACGTTTTCGTTTACTTTATAATGGTTTTCAGAGGAAAACACTTAACATGCCTGCACTTTGCATTCATATCCTAGGCTGTTGGCCTGCATATAGTTTGCATCATCAGAAAGATGTATACAGAGTTTAGCCTTTTAAAATTACTTTCTTAATGCATTAAGCCACGTTAAGTTTTTTTCTTTATAACTCTTTTCTGTGGGAGGAAAATGCTTAACATGAAAATTTACGCATTGCTTTCATATTCTGGGCTTCTTTGCTTGCAAAGTCCTTTCAGAACGGCAAAGAATATCCACACAGCTTTAAAGTGAATGTAGACAATATTTTTGTCATATCAACATTAGTTATTGTTAATTTTCAAGTATAATTGGTCATTTAAATGTATGTATTTAAAAGGAAAAGGTATCGGTATCAATGTCGGCGTTACTGGCCCTGTATTTAGTTGGTATCGGATCGATACCAAAATTTACAGTATCGCACACCCCTAGTGAGCAACGCAGCAGTGTTTAGTTTCTGAATGAATCCGCGCGAATGAATCAATGATTCAAAGACCCATTCATAAAGAGAGCCATTTACTTAATTCCTGAATGAATCAGCTGTTTGAATCAAATGAATGACTCATAAAGACATTTACCGCCACCTGCTGGCAGATTTAGTTTCTTATTTAGAGTATTATTTCATTAAAAAAAGGGGGAAAAAACAACAACTTTAAAGGGATAGTTCACCCCAAAAAAATGTAAATTATGTCATCATTTACTCAAACCTGAATTACTTACGTTCTTTTGTGGAACATAAAAAAAGGTATTTTGAAGACTGTTGGTAACAAAGCTGTTTTGGTTACCAATGACTTCCATTGCATGAACGTAAAAATCTGAGATGTTTCTCAAATCACCTTCTATGTTCCATGGTTTATGTTAGGCCACTGTATTTATGTGTAATAAGTTTTATGTTGAATCAAAAAATATTTCTTTCTAAAGCTACTATTTGTAATGTCTACTAAACACTTTCTCATTAAACACACAAATAATTTTAAATAATCTTTTGGGGGTATTTTCACAGCCAAATGTAATTTGCGATTAATTAAATCGACACATCATGTAATTAATTAGATTAAAAATTTTAATTGACAGCCTTAGTAATTATACACTCTCGTGTGTAAGACGACAAGCGAATGACGAAGATGAAGGAATTTAAACATTTATTTATTATTATCCACACGAAGACAGGTTATCCAAGACAGGAATACACACAAGGTACCATGGAAGACACCAGACAAAGAACTGAACTCAGGAGGGAACTAAATAAGGTAAATAACGAGGGGCAGACAGGTGACCTCGCGCCGCAGGAACAACAAAGGGAGGGACGGAGGGGGACTTAGGAGGAGGACAAAGGACTGGATGTGGGATGGTGACAGGGGATGGCAAAGGGCTGGCAGGAAGGCAGGCTGGCAAGACAAGTGGAGGCTCCGGACGACAACCAAAGTCCAGGGTGGAGCTGATGGAGGGAGGAGCCAGGAAGAAGCCAGGAGGGAGCAGGAGGAGCCAGGCAGGACCCAGGCCACAGCCATGATGGCGGCTCACGGTTGAGCCGATGGAGGGAGGAGCCATGGTGGAGAAAGGGCTGACGGCTCCAGGGGGCCGACCGACGGCGGCGGAGCAGGTAGAGGAGGAGCCCGAGGCGGAGATGGAGAGCCAGGGCGATGGGGAGGATCTGCGGAGCAGGTAGAGGAGGAGCCCGAGGTGGAGATGGAGAGCCAGGGCGATGGGGAGGATCTGGAGGGCCAAGGCGGAGCTGATGGCTCAGGCGACTGAGGCGGAGGCGTGGATCCGGAAGGCTGCGGTGGAGCCGGAGCGACAGAGGACTGAGGTGGAGCCGGAGAGAAGGAGGGGCCTGACAGAGCGACGAGGTGTAGCCAGAGGAGTGGAGTCCCGAGGCGGAGGATGGTCAACGACAGACCAAGGCGGAGGGATGAGCGAGCCTGGCGGAGCCAGTGGACTGATGGGCCACAGTGGAGAGGAGGGAGCTAGGAGTGATGGTGGAGCCGCTGGGTCGAAGGGCTGAGGTGGAGTCCAGGACTCGGAGGCCGGAGGTGGAGACAAGGGATCCTCCAGCCATGACGCCGATGGAGACTGGCAGACCCGTGGCAATCCCACCGCACAGATGCTGGGCTGAGGGTGAGCAGAGGGACTGCCAGAAGACAGCGGTGGAGATGGTGAGGACTGGTACAGAGGTGGTGGGAGAGGGAGGCTGGGCGGGAGTTCAGGATGCTCAGGGGGATTAGGGACGGTGTGTGCTGCCACACACACACCACAAGGCCACTCCCAACACCAGGAGCGCCAGTGACAGGGGAACGACCTCTGTGGTAATTTCAGGACAGATAAGGGCCTTTCGCACCGCGGGAACCTTTTCATAGTACCAGAACTAATTGTGGAACTGCCCACTTTTTGCCATTTTTGCACCGCCGGAACTGGGTGCGATTTTAGTACCGGACCAAATTAGCTCCTACTCCGGAGCAGGGTCTAACCAGCACAACTGGTACTAATCGTGAAGTAAGTAGACATTGATTGGCCAAACGCGTACGAAAACCCCCTCCCCCGCCATGATTTAAAACGCCGTGTAAACATACTGTAAACATTGTGTCAACTTATTTAGCAAGAACTAATTGTGGAACTACCCACTTTTTGGCGTTTTCGCACCGCCGGAACTGGGTGCGATTTTAGTACCGGACTGCTTTTTTCGAGAACCAAATTAGCCCCTACTCCGGAGCAGGGTCTAACCAGCACAACTGGTACTACCCGTGACGTAAGTAGACATTGATTGGGCAAACGCGTACGAAAACGCCCTCACCCACCATGATTTAAAACACTGTGTAAACATACTGTAAACATTGTGTCAACTTATTTCGCAAGTATGGAGAACAGCGATAGATGGATGGACGCAAATCGTCCCAGTACTTTAGTACTGTACATTTAGTTCTGGAACTAAAGCGGTGCGAAAGGCCCTATAGTCAATTCAGGGCAGACAGATAATTCATGGCAGGCAGATAGTTCAGACGAAGTCGGGAGAAGAGGGGCCATGTCTGCATAAATATCCCAATCATAGTCCACTGAGCTCAGCTCACCCTCAGCTATGGTGCAGTGGGCGGAGCTTCCTTCCACGCTCTCGCTGACCATGGCGCCAGCTTTCGCACTCTGGCTCCACGGCGATCCTCAGCTCTGTCGCTCCATTATGCGATGGCTCGTCGATCGTGGCGGGCTCAGGTTCTCTGTCATCGGTGGGCTCTGGCTTTTGCTCCGCGCAGCGGGGTGATGGTGGGCAGGGCTCTGGGCTGGCGGCCACGATGGGTGATGATTCTGAGTTGGCAACGGTGAGAGGGGATCCACTAAGCAACTGGGCCAAATCTATATATTCTGCCAGGGTCCACCTGGACTCGCCCCCTGGCATTAGTTGGGTGATGCTCTCGTCCAGACCACCCCAGAAACAGTCCACAAGTGTCCAATGGTCTAAGGGAGCATGATGACAGCAGGTAAGAAACTCCGCTACATAGATCTCAAGGGGACGGCCATTTTGATAAATAGAACAAAGTATATCCACTGGATCCATAATAACAAAAGAAAAACTAAAAATAAATAAACGCAGGGATACACGACCCTTTACTTTCTCTTGGTCTGGTGTTCTGTCACAGTCTCGTGTGTAAGAAGACAAGCAAACAACGAAGATGAAGGAATATAAACATGTATTTATTATTATTCACACGAAGACAGGTTATCAAAGACAGGAATACACACAAGGTACCATGGAAGACACCACACAAAGAACTGAACTCAGGAGGGAACTAAATAAGGCAAATAACGAGGGGCAGACAGGTGAATGGGGTTAACCAATGATGAACTAACAAGAACAGGAACATAACCAAATAAGGAAAAACAGGAACTGGAAGGAACTAACAGAAATGGACTAAACTAAAAGTTCATAACTATGACATATACATCTTATATCTGCACAAAATTACAAAAAAAGCACAAGTAAACTTCAACTAAATCACACCCTAGTCAGAATGAGTTGTGAATAAGTTTTTTTCTGTAACAACATACTGAAACACGCACAAATAACTAAAAAACTAAAATATAAAGATTTCACAACATTGTATTGCAATAGTTTCACTATAATTTTATTTCCGGAGTTGATACATGTTTAAATTAATAGATAAAAACTATAGTATTTGGTTTAATTTAGCATGTTCTTGTCAACTAAAATGTTATTTCTTTCGACTAAAATATTAGTCTGAATAAACTTGGCAAATTTGAATGAATTTGACATGGCAAAACATTGAGAGTTTAAATGATTTTTTCACCAAAAGACAAAAAAACTAAGACTAAAATAAAATAAAAACTGTGTAAAAGTTAACAAGTTCACACAGGGTGGGCCAAACTGCTGAATACTGAACTCTTAACTCTGAAGACCCCTAAATAAAGTTCAAACCTACAGCTGTTTGGTTACCAGTCAAAAAAGTCATTATTTTGTAGGGTACCTTACTGCCTGCTGTCCTGCTCCGGCTGTATTACACACCAGCAACAAGATCTTCACCATCCCGTCAGCCTGGTTCAGGAACTCGGAGGACAGCGCTCCGGACGCAGCCAGTCTGTGACCCTCCGGCCCAGACAAGGTGTATGGAGAGGACGGAAGACTGTGGTGCAACCCTGGGATGAGAGGGAACCAAGGAGAGGTAGATGTCACCTCCTAACACGCCTAATCTGTGGGCAGATTTATCGTCTGTGCCTCCATATAGCCAAATAATGTCAAATTTTATTGTATGACAAAACAAGGTGACATAAGCATGAATAAAGAGAGGAAGAGAGTCACAGAGAGAGAGAGAGAGACAGATGGAGACATGCAAATAGAGCACAGCAGACAGCAGACTGAACACAGTGGGGTGTATGATCTGACGCCAGCCTTCACACACATACACATACATACTAAATGGACGTCAAGCTTTCAGATGTTGTCTTTCAAATAAAGTATGACTGGGCAGCAGCCATTAATTAAGTACCCAGAACAAACTACCCAAAAAAGGCCAAAGACTGGTATATAATTTCTTTTCCAAAAGTCACCCAGTTGAATTTATCAGGGACAGAAGAGCCGTATCTTCAAGGTGACAGCATTAAAAGTGTGTTATTTCTGCACCTTGAACATCAACACACACAATTGGAACTTTGAAATGACTTTGAAATGGTTTAAAAGATGCTCCTTATAGGACAAACAAATGGACCCGCCTCAAGACTCTATTGCTATTGGTTGAGCCAATGTCGTTGTGTCGGGCTGGTCTGGATGTGCAAAAAGAGGCATAATAATACTTTTCAGGAGAATTTATTACTTAAAGTTTTCTCGGCACATTAAATTGAGACAGTTTATTAACTTCGTTAATTTAGCACTTTAACACCTGACAGCTTTAATAATTTACTAACAAAAAGTACCCAAAACTTCCATGCATTTGTGTACCATATTGTTGGATATGTACCATATCGGTACCATGATACACCTGTCAGGGTTATGAACTTTAGTTTTGTCCTTTTCTATAACATGTCTGCCTGTTCTGTGTTTCCACTGTGTTTTGCTTCGCTCCCCGTGACCTAGTTTTCCTTGGTTGCCCTGATTAGTTCATTCTGCTCACCTGTGTTCATTCTATTATGTCATTAGTCTCTCTCTTGCGTTTGTATAAATTCTTCCCATTTCTGTTCTGTCCTGGTCAGTTATTATTTTGGTCTACACGTTGTGCTACCCCAGCTCCTCGATTCCTTGTGTTTGCTTTGTGGATTATAATAAAAGACTGTTATTGGATTACTCCTGCGTCGTGCACCACCTTAGAGCACAGCAACGTGACAACACCATACACTGCTGTTAAAAAGTTTGGGCCAATTTTATTTTATTTTATATTGAATTAAATTAATACTTTCAGTTAGTGAGGGTGCATTAAATTGATCAAAAGTGACTGTAAAGACATTTATAATACAAAACATTTGACAAATGTTACAAAACATTATTTCAAATAAATGCTGTTCTTTTGAGCTTTCTGTTCAAAGTTCCTGAAAAAATGTATCACAGTTTCTACAGCAATGCAGCACAACTGTTTTCAATATTGATAATGTTTCTTGAGCAGCAAATCAGCATATTAGAATGATTTCTTAAAGATCATGGGACTTTGAGGACTAGAGTAATGATGCTGAAAATTCACCTTTGCCATTACACAAATAAATTAAATTTTTAAACATATTCAAATAGAAAACAGTTACTTTAAACTGTAATAATATTTCACAATTTTACTGTTTTTAATGCATTTTGATCAAATAAATGCATCCTTAGTGAGAGACTTTAAAAAAAAAAAAATCATACTCCAGCAGCAAACTTTAAAAACAGTAGTGTATATTCATGTCAATAAATTAAAAAACAGGAAACAAACACATCAGTAAAGCACACATTACGTCATGCAGGTAAGCACTTTGAAAACTGGTCCGTTTATAAGTATATAATGAGAAAAATAATAAATTCTCTCTGGATCTGAATGTCATAGTCTGTCTAGCTACTATCTGTCAAAGCTCCTTTCAATCATTCACTCTCATTTGCATAAACACTGGCTTATGACTTCAAGTTTAATGGCAAATCAGCTTGACGATGGCGATCAGCAAGACCGTTACACGTTATGAACACATTACAACTAGAAGGTCACATGTGCCATCAGGGACAGATGGAGTACTGGCTGGCTTTTTAATCAAGAAGGGACATTTTTATGGCTGAACATCAGGACAGCTGTGCTTCCCAGCATTCTGTCTCAAGGTCTTTTCATATACGGTTTTGAAAATGAAGAATAGGAAGGTGTGACCTGAGCTGACTTTAAGTGGCTATGCTCATGCAGTCTCTCTTCTTTCCTGTCACTCGATGAACCCCACTGAATCTGTTTGAGGTTATCACTCAAAAGTAACACTGTGAGATTGTTAATTAAACACCTCTCCTCTCCACAGATCTCCACTGTAGAGACTGTAATTCAGCCCTCCCGTATGCAGTCCAATAGAAGAAGACATACACGGTGCTTATAAGAGCATGTCAGAGTGCAAACACTCATGTCGGAGTGCAAATGAAATAATAATTGATGATTAACTGACCATAATTGACGATTAGTCATAAAAGTCAATTAATAATCTATTAATAATTGTAATAATCATTAGATAAACCTATTTTAAAAAGAATCATTTGTTGCAGCCCTACATGCATTTATAATCGATATGCCCGGTTAAAGTATTGCTTCATTTAAAGAGCGTGTTATCAGAGCTGTAGTGCTGACTGTATTGTGAACTTCAGAGTTGTTGTGCTTCATTCAGAATTAAAGGGATAGTTTACCCAAAAATGAAAATTTTGTCATCATGTTGGTAACCATTGTTTGGCAAGAATGTTGGCAACCAAACAGTTGACGGTAGCTATTGACTTTCATATGATGGAAAAAAATTATATGGAAGTCAATGGCTACTTTGACTGCATCAGCTGTTCGGTTACTAACATTCCTCAACATATCTTCTTTTGTGAAGAACGAAATTAGGTTTGGAACAACTTGAGGGTGAGTAAATGATGACAGAATTTTCATTTTTGAGTCAACTATCCCTTTAAAGAACTTCAGAATAAAGGAAGCAAAATGCATACTTCAAATTCGATGCTCTAATTTAGCCAAAATTGCATGTTTTGTAGTTATATTAATCTATACCCCCAATTTCAGTCAGAAACACAACTCTTATATTTGGATAGGGATGATATTAAAACCTAAAAGGTGCCTATAATCCTGAAAAACATCCTCTACAGTTGGCTACATTTACCTGAGATTCGTGCAGATCCACCCCTGATGTAAAGGGGCGGAGCTTGGAAGGCATAGATGATGTCACTCTCTGCTATGCTGGTCAAGTCATCGTCATCAAAGAACGAGCGCTGGAAACCTGTTGTGTAGATCTCTGCCAATATTACCTAGAAGAACAGAGAATTAAAAACGGAATAAAATCACTCAATTATTGCAGTTATTATTATTATTAAATATAGAGATAAAATTCCATTTACATTTATTTGAAACACATCTCACATTTGTCAAGCTTATCAATCAATTCACATTTATTACCAGTGATACCAATAATAGCTGTTACATTTTAGGCATTAAAATAATAACTAACTATAAAATAATCCTCTGATTTTTCCGCATACCATGCAAATACCATAGCATATGATTATGATAATCTTTCGGGATCGTGGCATATATCAAAGTCCTACATTATTACCATCTGACACGATCACTGTAGCAATGCAGGAGATTTGGTCAGGTGATATACTGTGTGCAGGCATGAGGTCTGTTTGTGTGATACTGTGTGCACCTGTCACCTGATCAGGAGAGATCTTGCCCTCATCTGCCAGCATCCGGCGCAGACATGCCAAAGAGCCAAAGAGAGGCACAGCGAGCCCCACTCTCAGATACCGCTGCCCTTTACTGCTAAACACCAAAGTCACACACACTGGTCTGCAGAAAGAGAAGAAAACGCATCCTTTATGATCTAAAAGCAGCTTTTACATTTAAAATGTTAATGATAGCAATAAAGGGCATCTTGAAATCTCTGTAAAGGGCTACAAAAGTGAGTGGGTGTGGCTTAAGCAGGTGGGTGTGGCTAAAGAATGAATCTGATTGGTCACTAAGTTACGTATCTGTGTATTCTGACCATACAATATACACTACCATTCAAAAGTTTGGGTTTGTACAAAAGTCTGTACAATTTTTTTTTAAATACATCTCTTATACTGCTTTCTAACTTATTTCAATTTCTGTGTTTATTTGCTGTGATGCAAAGCTGAATTTTCAGCCTCATTACTCCAGTCTTCAGTGTCACATGATCCTTCAGAAATCATTCAAATATGCTGATTTGCTGCTCCAAAAACATTTCTTATTATTATGAATGTTGAAAACATGTTCTTTTTTCATGACTCGAACCGCATTTACTTGAAACAGAACTCTTTTGTAACAATATAAGTGTCTTTCCTGTCACTTTTGATTAATTAAAGCTATTTTGCTGAATAAAAGTAGTAATTTCTTTAAAAAATATTACTGACCCCAAACTTTTGAATTCTTTATAGCTCTTGCTAAAGTGATGCCATCTTCTCCTAAGTGACATCATCTACTACTGTACCATTATTTATACTGTCATCTAGTTTTCCTCCACTATTACAACCCTGCTGATATATGACCTAAAGAAGCCGGATCCGCATCCGGCTTCGCTACCGTTCAGACGTTCTTGCTTACTGCTCTGCGCTTTGCTCCCTATTTCTGTACTTTTCTTAGCACTTTGAATTACCATTGTGTATGAAATGTGCTATATAAATAAACTTGCCTTGCCTAAAGCTTGAAAACGTCCTTCTTAGACATAAACTACTGTGAATAAGGGTGGCGCTGGGGTAAACGCTGAATGAATTTCCAGAAGAAATAAGGTAAAAAGTGCCACACCTCAAACAGTTTACTTTCCTTTTAACTGGTCATGTGTTCTGTCCTAAAGGAATAGTTCAACCAAAAATGAAGATTGTATCATCATGAAACCTGTAAGAGACTTCCTTTATTTCTTGGAACACAAAAAGAGAAAAATATATCAGAATGTTCAAACTGAAGCTAATATTCATTGAAGAAGACTTCAGTTGCAGTCTGTTCCTCAGACAAAGTTATCATATGAACTGTAGTGCTTAAGTCTTATTAATTATTTTAAGATGATTTACAGTGTTTTTTGGAGCTTGACAGACCCTGGTTTGCATCTACTTCTACTGTAAGAGGAGAGCAGCTCATATTTTCTGCAAAATCTTTGGTGTTGAATAAATGAATTCATTAGAAAAATAAATAAATTATGACAAAATTCAATTTTGGGTTAACAATTCCGATTTTGGGTGAATGTTTAGGTAAATATTGCCATATAAGATGCGCTTTAGGTGCCCTTTATTATTTAAGCCTATTGTATTCATTAGGATATTGATATAAGAACTGTTTTTGTCAAACAAGTTTCAAACTTCCTTCAAACCAGTATAAAATTTCATACCGGTTTCATCCCTCATAACCAGTATAACCGGTATTACCATGTATCATTGAAAAGCTGGTTTATATAAACATGTATATACAGAAACATTATACATTATAGCATGTGTGGGACAATAGTTGTGCATTTGTGAACGTGAGGGTGTTCATTTCCTCCAAAAAAAGGATTTCCCTGGCAATCCATCTGCTGCCTTTGGTTTGAATGCTTCATTGTTTTTGAGTCCAGAGAGGCAAAAATGTTAGAATACAACCACGGCAAGAAAAACAATTACATTTTTGCATGAATCAACGACTTCAAAAGGCTTCAGTTTGGTACAACTGTACTCACCTTGTCTGTCTTAGAGGAATAGGGAGGGAAATGCACAGAAAAGGATCAAACGTGTTGCTCTGCTTAAGACAATGCGGGCATGTCAGAGATGACCTGGAAAAAAAGAGCGGGGAAAAAGATGGTTAAACAGCAACAAAAGAGTAGCAGAAAAGCAAATATATACAAATATTATATAATAAACACACAAACAATCAAGCTATTAGCCATTGTATTGCATGAATGAGCCTCAAGGGATGTTCAGTGGAACAGGAAGTGATGTCACAGGGAAGAGGAAGCACAGAACGTCTCTTGGGAAGAATTATTATTGTAGCTACGGAAACTGATGCTCACAAAATCACAATTGCAGTTTTTTGCATCATCCTTGCCCCTCATTTACAGAATGATTTCAAACTCACTACATAGACTTATTCAGAATGGCTTTGATTATGAAGCATCTATCTATCTATCTATCTATCTATCTATCTATCTGTCTATTCTTCTTAGAGTATCTCTAACAATCATAAATACTAATGCCTTTTTAATTTAAACAATAGGCCTACTTCTTCTCCCTGCTAGCTCTTGCCAGGTCAGTGTTGTGGAGAAACAAATAAAGAGAGGTGGCTAGAGATATTTTTAGAGTATTAAGGAAAGCCCTGTTCATCTCCGGCAGCTGTCAGAGTGTTAGGTGGAGACTTCAGCATTTTAACTCTGAGCTCTTCGGCTGCAGTTCTCCCACATATGTCTTACTGCAGAAGACAAACGATGCAGCAGCAGCGCTCCACTTACACAGAATAAGATAACCTGATCCAAGTCTGTGTGGATAGTAAATTTTCAGGTATAAGAACCCAAATGATCTCAATCACTATAATTTCAAATCTTGTGTTGTTGTTGTCATCAAAAAGAAATGAGGAGATCATTTTTTTTATAATAAACACATTTAAAACAATTCTTACAAGAGGTGAGCATACACAGACTTTTTAAACAACTTCTCACTGTTTAAAAAGCAATCCGATAATCACAATCCTAAACTGTAGTTTGTGATTGGTTGACTAAAAGAGTCATTCTTTTGGAAATTGGTTGGACTACATTGTTTAAGCTGCATAATTAACTAAGGAGAACCAATTCATGAGGATAATTTGCTCTGTATGTTTTTGATTCACTAAAAAGATCCAGCTCACAAGAGGCATTTAATTGGGAGTTGGACTATACTGGGCGCTCTGTTGCCGCATACTAGCATGTGACTCTTACTACTTTTACATTTCTATGACAGAAATAGTAAGAGTAGTATGTTTGAATGTGGTTCCAAATTGAGGATGTGTTTGATTCATTAAAAAGATTCAGCTCATAACAGTCATCGTTGTATGTTTCGTACTTTCATTCAGTACAGTGTACTGTTCACATCAGAACCGAACGTCATTGTTTTTTCTGTATTTTTTTAATGGGGCTGAATAAAAACCCGTTCTCGATTCCCAAACTTGCTATTTACCAAATCCCAACTTCTAAGCAGAAATTTAACATACCAGTTCACAACACACTTTTCCTTGAACCGCAGGGATGTCTCAAAATAACTGAGTGCTTCATTACAGATGAAGAATATGCAAATCTGTTTAATTAATACAAAGTGGCCTATGATAATAAACTTCCCAGACAAAAGAGGCCATCAAATGGATTATTTATCTCGAGACACAGTCAACACATATAAACAAACAAAGAGAATTTCCCAAGTGCACCATTATCACATTGAGAAAATGGGAACAATTTGTAACGTTTGAATCACTTTCAATCGTTAATAGAGAATCAACTTTACTAACATCAACTAACATCAATATATATACACTTTTTTTTCTCAAATTAAAGAAGTATGGGCTCTGAGTCTCTGACATGTACTTAAGTAAGAAGTACCCATTACTACCTGTTTAAGTTTCATGCTGGGAACTGGACCTCACATCATATTGACACATTAATACAAAATAACTTACATTTAAAATTTTGTTAGCTAATGAATGTATCAAGGCTGAACAACCACCATGTAGAACAGGGCAGGACTGGGACAAAATTTCAGTCAAGGAAATATCACACTCATCCAGGCCATCCCATACACCCACAACAAATCCTGAAACCACGGACAACCCTATTTGTTTGTATGGCAATCACATTAAAAAAAAAAGGTTTAAAACCTTAGGTTGGGGCCGAACAAAATAATAATAATATTAATAATAATTAATAATAATAATAAAGGTTCCATCTTGAACTGCACCTTCACTTCCATTTTCCTTTTCATTCTCTTCATTTTCCATGATATCTCTATCTCTGTGCCTCTTTTTTTCACTAATTTTCTTGTACCTGTCACTTTTCCCATCAGCCATCTACTGTTAAGAACAGAACTGTCTCCACCTTGTTGCAAAACAACCACCTCATTGTATTCTGTTTGCAATAACATAACTTTAAGTTCAATTTAAAGCATCACATCATAACCATGTGTTGTTGTTTTATCTTAAATTGACTTAAATACTAGATTTAACAAAACTATATTTTCTAAATGGCATAAATTAATTAACCATGGTTTATTACAGTAAAAGTATAGTAACAATGTTTTTTTGGCTGATTGATTACAATCTGTTTTAATTTACAACCATAGTTTTACTTCAGATTTCATGGATAGACTATGGTTAGTGTAGCAAAACCATGGTTAATTTGTGGTTTGTGGTTTGTGGTTTAACTATAACCACGGTTTTTGGTTTTAATTTTCGTAAGGGTTGTATTGTTATCTGCCCTAGCTCCCTCTAAACGCATTACAAAATTATTTTATAACATTTGTTTGCTAAATTACTACTGTAACTTTACAGTAGGTAATAATGATGGCATTTTGAATACAGTATTTTGAGTGATGATAGTAATTTCAGTGAGAGATGGTTTGGTCTGAACTTCCTTGCAATTATTGAAATTATTGATGCTGTGGATCAATGGTGCAACAGATCTATCTATCTATCTATCTATCTATCTATCTATCTATCTTCAACTGTTGCACTGTACTGGTGGATTCCGTGTGGTCTGTTAGTTGATTGGCTGATTAACGTGTTTTTTTTTAAATGGCCACTGAGCAACACTATGATGAAATGGCAGATATTTATTAAAAGTACAGCAAAAACATGAGTTACTTCCTTTAGGAGCAGATGGCTAGTATGCAAAGCCACTAATTACATTTCTCACGAACGAGAGGTTCAGCCTGCGTCACACATTTAATCAGTGTTTTATATCAACGTTGCGTGTTCAGGCTTGCTGATGTCTGAACTGCAGGCCAGGTGTTTGCGCAGAACTTTTTTGTCAGCAGTTGGGTGATGAACAGTAATTTTCGACTGTTGCCAGTGATTCAACATAAAATTGAAGTAAAATGAACAAATTAACCAGCTAGCAGCAGATGGAGGGTGGGAAATACAGAGATGTGGATGTCAAAAGAGAAGGATAAAGTAATGTAATGATGTCTCAGAATGACAGTGAGAACACAGGTAACAGCTTAAGCGAGGCAAGATGAGTGACAAACTGTTCAGACGCATGTCAGTCCAGAACTGCAGTGAAAGCAGTGGGCAAAACTGCATCTGCTAAAACTGCTCACAAATGTTTTACTTACTGGAGCGAGAAGAAGATTTAGAGGGAATATGTGTGTTAGGATGAGGTGGTCGATCTTTTTTAATGTTAAAATACTTTCTCTTATCACAGTTGAAAGGGATAGTTCACATTATTAACTTGCCCTCAAGTTGTTTCTTTCTTCTCTCTAACAAAATTGAAGATATTTTGAAGAAACAGTTGATGGTAACCAAACAATTGATGGTGGCTATTAACTTCCATAGTAAGGAAAAAATGCTATGGGAGTCAATGGCTACAATTAACTGTTTGGTTACCAACATTCTTCAAAATATCTTCTTGTGTGTTCAGCAGAAGAAAGAAACTGATACAGGTTTAGAACAACTTGAGGGCAAGTAAATGATGACAGAACTTTCATTTTTGAGTGAACTTTAATATGCAGAAGCAATTTTAAACTGTACTGTTTATTACAGCATTTCATCAAAGTAACAATGTCTCAACCAATGGTGAGGGTGGAACTATCTGCTTTGTTGACCGATGAAAGACGAAAAGTCCATTTGGTGACACTGATGGCATAGAAAATACATATTTGACTCTTTGTTTAGGTGGTGTGTGCACACCAAAAGTGAATTTATTATTAAAGCAATTAGATTATATACAAAGTCGATGCAAAGACAAGATATTCGTGATATTAGCATAAATAAAAAAAACCTCAAGCTCACTAAAGTAAACAGTCACCAATTAAATAAGAATAAGAAACTAATTCCAATGATAAGAATAAGAAGAATAAGAATTATAAAAATAAGAAACTAATTACAATTGATCTTTCTGTCCACCCTCATAAAGATGGGCATCTCAGGAGCCGCACTCCAATGGTGCAAGTCTTACCTCTCAGATAGGTCTTTCAGGGTGTCTTGGAGGGGTGAGGTTTCTAAGTCACAACTTCTTGCTACTGGGGTTCCTCAAGGCTCAGTGCTTGGACCTCTTCTTTTCTCCATCTACATGTCATCGTTAGGATCTGTCATTCAGAAGCATGGCTTTTCTTATCACAGCAATGCTGATGACACTCAACTCTACTTCTCATTCCAACCAGATGATCCGACGGTAGTTGGTCGCATTGCAGCCTGTCTGAGAGACATTTCTAGCTGGATGAAGAACCATCACCTTCAACTCAACCTTGCTAACACAGAACTGCTCGTGGTCTCAGCCAACCCAGCACTTCATCACAACTTCTCTATAAATCTGTGTTCGTCAACCATAACTCCTTCCCGGACAGCCAGGAACCTTGGAGTTGTGATCGATGATCAGTTAAGCTTCACAGACCATATTGCTACAACGGCCCAGTCCTGCAGATTTGCCTTATACAACATTAGGAAGATTAGACCCTTCCTATCAGAGCAAGCTGCACAACTCCTTGTCCAAGCTCTTGTTCTCTCCAGACTGGACTATTGTAATGCTCTCTTGGCCGGCCTCCCCGCATGTACTATCAAGCCTCTGCAACTGATCCAGAATGCAGCAGCGAGAGTGGTCTT